TTGTTGTTGTTATTATTATTATTATTATTATTATTATTATTATTATTATTATTATTATACCCCCCATCTGGCTGAGTTTCCACAGCCACTCTGGGCGGCTCCCAATCAAGTGTTAAAAACAATACAGCATTAAATATTACAAACTTCCCTAAACAGGGCTGCCTTCAGATGTCTTAAAAATAAAATAGCTGCTTATTTCCATGACATCTGAAGGGAGGGCGTTCCACAGGGCGGGCGCCACTACTGAGAAGGCTCTCTGTCTGGTTCCCTGTAACCTCACTTCTCTCAATGAGGGAACTGCCAGAAGGCCCTCAGAGTTGGATCTCAGTGTCCGGGCTGAACGATGGGGGTGGAGACGCTCCTTCAGGTATACAGGACCGAGGCCGTTTAGGGCTTTAAAGGTCAGCACCAACACTTTGAACTGTGCTCGGAAACGTACTGGGAGCCAATGCAGATCTCTCAGGACTGGTGTTATGTGGTTCCAGCAGCCGCTCCCAGTCACCAGTCTAGCTGCCGCATTCTGGATTAATTGCAGTTTCCGGGTCACCTTCAAAGGTAGTCCCACGTAGAGTGCATTGCAGTAGTCCAAGCGGGAGATAACTAGAGCACTGGTGTGTGTGTGGGGGGGGGACTTTACTGTCCTCCAAGGAGCTGGTGAACATGCTAGGAGACAGAAATGCCAGAGAAGGACCATAGTGCAGAGATATGGACACACAATGCATATCAAAGCTCCCCAGGATGAATCCCCTGCATTTCCAGGTCGGACTGGGAAATATCCCTGCCTCGCACCCTAGAGAGCTACTGCCAGCCCCTGTAGACAATGCAGAGCTCAGTGGTCTGACTCCCACCAGGCAAGCTTCCTATGTTTTCCTCAGTTACTAATCCAAATGAATCATGCTTGCAGGAGTATGGGAATTATTCCATGACAGAGCCACCCGTTTCCCAGCATAGAAATGATGTTTCCTAAGCAACACAAGGCTATTTTGAAAAGCAAGCGAAAAAAGGGGGGGAACCCCTCTCTCCCATTCGCTTTGGATTTTGCTCTTAAAATCTCAAGCGTTGCAAGTGCCTATGAAAAGGTGTGTTCAGCGGCTGAGAGAGAAGACGTCTGTTGCCCTACAGAACGGTATTGATGCCGCAAACAGAGCTCCCAATGTGCACAAGCTCCAGGTCAGAAGGTGAGATTCTGTAACTTCTATTCAGTGGCCAAATTGATGGCAAGGTGGGACACTGTGTTCACTTAGGACCACCTGAAGGACGGATTGTGTGCACTAGGCACTTACGCAAGAGTTAGTGGTTCCAACTGTTCATTAGCCCCACTCTTGCGCCTCTAAAACTCTACTTGAAGAAATTTAGCAGGTGAAACTTTTCCTGGCACAGAGGCAAAAGGATGGTTTTGGATTGCAACATAGGGTTGCATTCTTTTTTAAAGAAAATCTTACCCACTCATGTCCTGTGCTTATAACAGCAGTCTGCCATGCAGAAGGTTGGCAGACGAAGCCAACCTGGGTGCTAGGTTTTAATCAGAGTAGACCCATTGAAATTAATGGTCATGTCTAACTTTGGCCCATTAATTACTCTGAGTAAACTTAGTTGACTGCAACCCTAAGAGAGAAGGAATATCAGATATAAACCTTTAGAGGACAAATCAAGTTCATTGGGTAGCAAGCTCTTGTATTTCACAGAATTCTTCTTCAAATTCTTCAACTCTTCCTCAAAAGCTTGCTTCTCTACCCTGTGTGTGCATGTTTATACAGCGGTACCTCCAGAACGGATTCTGTTTGACTTCCAAAACGTTCAGAAACCAAGGCGCGGCTTCCGATTGGCTGCAGGAAGCTCCTGCAGCCAATCTGAAGCCCCGTCGGACATTCGGATTCCAAAGAATGTTAGCAAACCGGAACACTCACTTTCGGGTTTGCAGCGTACGGGACCCAAAATGTTCAACTTGCAAGGCCTTTAGGAACCAAGGTACGACTGTATGTCATAATGAACATGCATGTTCTTTTTGCAAACTGTAAAAGGACAGGTCCCCGCCCTGAGGAGCTTACAATATGGCTACAACATCCCACTGGAAGGACAGCAAAGATGGAGGAATAATAATCATTTGTGAAAGATTACTATTAATAATAATAATTAGTTATTAAATTTGTATACTGCCTTTCATCCGTAGATCTCAGGGTGGTTCACAACATAAAATTATAATATAAAAACCACAAAATACATAATAAAACTAGGAACAACAATAGTCCCACCCTCCCACAACACATTTAAAAGGGCATGGGATGTCAATCAGCCAAAGGCTTCCACCTGGCACCTGAAGGTGTATAATGAGGGCCTCAGCTGAGCATTTCACAAATGGGGAGCCACCACAGAAAAGGTCTGTTCTCATGTTGCCACCCTCCGGAGCTCTTGTGGAGGAGGCACACGAAGGAGGATATCAGATGATGATCTCAGGGTCCAGGTAGGTTCATATAGGGAGAGGCGGCCCTTAAGATGGCAGGAGAAGAATAAAAAAGTACAATCCTAACTCCCATTTTGTGTGTAACACGCCCCTGTGTATAAGACGCCCCCTATTTGGGGGGACTCCAAATTAAGAAAATGGGCTGAGATTGCCCAGAGTCGTTGAGCTTTCTTTGGGAGAGATTGTCCGGAGTTGTTGGACTATTTTTAGGGGGGATGAACGGAATTCACTCACCCACCTGACCTACGCTACCGCTTGCACGTGTCACAAAATACATATAGTGTCTGCCCGCCCACAATAGCAAATCAACAGCAGCCCTGGCTGCAGCCACCTATAAGATGCCAAATAGCTGTTGACAATCTCCAGCACACGACAACAACCAATCATACGTCCCCACAATGCACTACCAGTGCATAAGATGAGTCTGGATTTTTAAGATGATTTGAAAGGGGGACAAAACTCGTCTTATACATGGAAAAGTACGGTGTGCTTGTTTGGAGCAATTAGAATATGACCCTCTACCTGAGCCAGGCAACAGACAGGCAGGGGTATGAGAGCAGAGATAGGTACCTTGGGTCTTATACAAGGTATCACCTGAACCATTTTGGATCTGGTCTCTGTGCAGATGGACCCCAAAATGGCTCAGCTCGCATCTTGCATTAGACCTGGAGTTATCAGGAGATTGTGCTCCAGATATTGTGGACTACAAATTACCACCATCCCCAGCCAGCATATAGCCAAAGATCACGGATGACGGGACTTGTAGTTCGTGTTTCGCTATCCCAATTTCAGTCATCCCAATGCATCCCTGATCCTGTTGCTTTTTAACACAGAAAGAGATCGTAGCATCATTGATGGCTATTCCAAAGTTATTCTACGCTAGCTTTTACCAGATGCAAGGAACAAACGGCCATGACAGACCATATTGCCATGGCTGTTATTGTTGCTTGTATCTGGCAAAGCATTCTCAAACTGAAAAAGCACAGCAGCGGAACCAGGAAGAGGCAGGAATACTTGGAATGCTCACCTGCCTGCTGGAGACAGCGAAATATTTCCCTGAAGTGGGTTGCGGATGACACTTAATTGTACTCAAGCCCAGGCCTGCACAATGCCTGGAATTGGCAGCTTGGGGGCACGATCGTGAAAGGGTGTGCTGCTGGTGGGCATGAGAAGGAGCCAGAGTGCATTGTGAAGATGGTGCCTGCAGGCTACACTCAGCCCACACCGAAAGCAAGAATGTGACTTTCTTTTTACAGCAGGCAACATGCCAGTCGTGTGCTTTAAGCAGGTTTTTTTTTAAGCTATGTGGGTTGGGCTGCAGCTGTCAAAAGCATTGCACCTGCAAGTTGCTTAGTAGCATTGTCTTTAATTGCACTTAATTGGTTTTGGGTCAAGGCTGAGGCTTTCCTTTGCAGCAGGTTGTGGGGCACAGAGACACACCCCAGGAAGATTTCCCACCTACTTTTTCAGGCAGGAGCATAACTGACTTCCATTCTAGGTAGAGAGTCCGCCTGGTGTTCCTGTGCTGCAGTTTCTTCTTAGGTCAGGCTCCAATCTTTGTATATACCTAGGACGCCAACCTCTGCTTTTTTATGCCTCTCTGGGCATGCCTTTAAAAGCTGCATGTACCAATTTCAGCACATCGGGAAGCTATAAAAGGCATGGTAGCCAGATGGGTCCATTTTTCCTCCTGATCAGTTGGCAACCCTTTGTACTATGCTCAGTGGGATTTACTTCCAGGTAAACATAAGATCAGTCTGTACGCCTGTGTTTTAGTCTTTTGCCTTGCATTTTCTCATGAAAAACACATTCTGGAAAGCCAACCCATATCATTATAAAGTATAACGATTTTACAATTATTATAAACAGACGTGCTTCCTTTCTGATCTTGCAGTCAAACCATTAAACTGCTTACCTGACTATTCTTAGATTGCCTTCTGCAATTCTGCTTTTACACATCTTGATAAGTATTTCCTAAATCATCTGTGTCATCAATAACTTTTGTTGCAGTGTTGCTGCTGCTGTCAGAATTCTTAGATTGTTCTTTGGTTTAAGTTATGTTAGAAAAACACCTGAGTTTTTAAAATGGGCTGGGCCAGGCTGTTGAAGAGTAAATCAGTATAGCAAGCAAGCAGTTTTTAGCATGTTTAATGGAAGGGTTAGGAGAGACAGCCAAAAACCATTCATAAGAAAACAGGCTTCTTGTTATTATTATTACAAATGCACCCTTCTCTTCTGTGAAACATTGGAGGATATATGGAGAAGATGAGCTTGAAAGTGTGATCCTAAGCACTGTTACCTAGAACTAAATCAGAGTTCAAGGAGCCAGATTCCTGGTAGGTGTGCATCTAGGATTGCAGCCCAAATCTCAGTCTGTAAACAGCGTAGTAAATAAACACCAAGTCTGACTCGGGACGAAGTAGATAGCAGGTGTTTTATGAGCACCTCCGCAGGTTTTGCCAATTGCTCAACTTTGCTCCAGGGAAAGAAGGAGAGAGAGAAAACAAAACTCAGTGACACATGCCGTTTGTTCCACCAGCTCTTGCACCTGCTTCTACTATATGCAAATCCGAGCGGGCCTGCCGCCTCATGTCAAGAACGAGTTACGTCTCCTCTCGCCCCAGCCAGAGGCGAGCGCAGAGAAATATGTGTGACAACCGTCTGCGGCCTTCATTGAAGTCAGCAGATAAGGGCGGGCGATTCAGGCGCCCCCAGAACAAGCAGCTCCCATGACGGCATCGGACATCCCAGCATTTTCTTGGTCCCCGCAAGCAGCCACCTAGGATGCAGAATCCAACATGCTTCCACAAATGGTGCTGTAGCCACTGAGCCCAGAAAACCCAAAGGTTTTCTCCATGTAAATAAGAGCAGTTGCCGCACTTCCTGTATTGCTTGCTGCACCGAGAGTTAACTGCTCCATTTCACACAACCTCCAAAAGAGCATGTACCTTCTTATGCATTGGTTTTTAATAACCAAACTAGAGAAATATTTACAATTAGGATTTCCTATTTAACTGACACCGCCCCTGTGTGTTTGACAGCTGCCTGAGCGCCTATGTGAAGCTAATTGTGTCAGTTGCAATCATGTCAACATTTTAATTTTATTTCATTGCAAGCAAAGGGGAGGAGGGAGCTGGTTTTTGTTGGAACTGCGATGGACAGGGAGGGGAAGTTTAAACCTTCCCTCACCTGCCTGGATCTCAATGAAAATCCCCCTTATCCAAGCGGTTTGGCTTAGGAAAAGAGTTCCCACTGGTGCCAGTTTAGCAATTCAGCAAATCAAACACACCTTGATACTTTGTCCATTGGGGAATCAGTAGGGGCTCCTTGTAGCTCATGGAGCTGAATCTCCTCATTAGCTGATTTATTTATTTATACAGCTAGCTAGTTCCTCCCAGCTGCTGTTACAGCCAGTGAGGTAAAGGTGTGTGGCTCTAATTGCTGAGAAAAGGGATTTGAAAGGCAGAAGGGAGTCATATCAGTTTAGCCCCCTGGGAATGGGGAGTGAACAAGAGGTGTTTATTAATTGGGGAGTGTGTGCAAGATAGTAGGACTGCATAGGAAAGTGCTGCTAGTATACAGTGGTACCTCAGGTTAATACTTAATTTATTCCGGAGGTCCGTTCTTAACCTGAAACTGTTCTTAACCTGAAGCACCACTTTAGCTAATGGGGCCTCCTGCTGCTGCCGCGCCGCCGGAGCACAATTTCTGTTCTCATCCTGAAGCAAAGTTCTTAACCTGAAGCACTATTTTTGGGTTAGCAGAGTCTGTAACCTGAAGCATATGTAACCTGAAGCGTATGTAACCTGAAGTACCACTGTACTCCTAAGCGTACTTCCATAGAATGAAGCCCCATTGAATTCTGTGGGATTTACTTCAGAGTAAATGTGAGTAGGAGTGGGATGCAAGAGGCCCCCAGCCACGGGTTTGGGTAGGAAGAGAAACAAGTCAACTATTTGTTTGGCTTTTTTGTTTTTGTTTCGTAGAATCAAAATTAATTGGAATGCAATTTCTGTTTTGGAAGGGATGCTGTGGTCTCCCTCTCCACCCCCACTCCCAGGATCTGGGAATACTCTCAACAGAAAAGAAATCTGGACTGCACTGGTGAGAAACTTCCTCAGCTCCACCTGTTCCTAGTCCCTCAGCGCCACAGATGTGCATCCCACATCAGAGGACAAATAAAAATTTCCCAAACCTTTTCATTGCAACAAGCTAGCTAAGCCCTTTTCAAACATTGGCTTTGCTGTGAAGAAGAACTGCAGCTCTAAATTTAATTCTGACATGACTTCCCACCCAACTTCTCTGCCCCAAACTTCCTGGAATAGAAAGCTCATTAGGGGGTTTGTCGTGTAGGCAGAGTTCTGATACGAGTTTTGACATCTTAAATGTATATTTAAACGTATATCCATAAGTTTTTGCAAGTCCTCATCTCCAGGCTATTCTAGAACTAGTGGAACCTGCAAAAAAATTCCTTATTTTATTATTACATTATTACATGCAGAAGCCTATCAGCTGTAGCTTTTCCTATCATGGAGATATTGAGGAGAGCAGTTGCTATTTCAGACAGAGGGTGTGTCTAAGGCCCAAGGCCCACATGGTATATTTAATATGCGAGACCTACAATAAATTGTTGCAGCATGAAATGCTGCTTGTTCCAGATTCCAGCCACTTAATTCCCTTCACACCCCTTATTTCCTATCCCTCTTCTCCCAAAACTGCAATAGTCAGTCAGACGTCCATGGTGACTGAGCTTTCTGTTTAGGGAGGTTTCCTCCTCTTGTTGTTTCTCCCTCTAAATGTCTCCCCCCTCTCTTTTGCTTTGCAAACCTCAGGAGTTCCCAAGCTTGTGCTGGTTGGTTGCGGCCTTTTGGTTACAAATGACAATTTTGGTTACATTATGACACTCGGAGCTTGATAATCATAAACAGAATGAATGATTGCAGACAAAATAAAGTTCTCCACTCGGCACAGAATTTGCTCCCACGGGAGTCAGTGATGGCCACCAACCTGGATGGCTTTAAAGGAGGATTAGACAAATGAGACATGGGACTCAGCTACATTAGTCAAAAAACTGTGTTTTGAATGCATTATAAACATGCAACACCAGAGGGCGCTGGAGAGCATAAAAAATTCTATACGATTTTCCATAGGTGTTGTTGTTTTTTTATTTTTTTTTTTTTTTGCTATAACAATTTAATTTCTGGCTTATTTCTAGCGTCCCCCCCCCCCGTGTGTAGATCCACCCATGGCTACCAATGGCTACTAACTCTGAATACTATGTTCTACCTCCACTATCGAAGGCAGTATGCTTCTGGGTACCACTTGCTGGAAACCATAGGAGGGTGGAGAGTGCTCTTGTGTTCAGATTCTGCGGGCAGGCTTCCCATGGGTATGTGGCTGGCCGCTGAGAGAACAGGACGCTGTACTAGATGGGCCACTGGCCTGATCCTGCGACACCCCCATTATATTAGCAGCTTCCTTCCTGGAGCAAACAGCTTCATCTGCTGGGTGGTGGTTTCCAATTACACGTTACCAGCTTAAAACGCGACTAGGTTGGTCGTTGCTTTTCTCAATTTGAAGCTGGTTTGGCAGGTTGGAAAACTTGGTATTTCATAAGGAGCAACAGGGTAGACATCGATTGGTGACTTGCATCACGTGTACACCGCTTCCCAGGTGGGAGTGTACTGGATGCGGAACAAACAGGAGTGTGTGCCTTTAAGTGGGGGCAACAACTAACACCCATCTCTGCACCACTGTCTTGATGTGACTCCCTTCCCACTGCCATTTGCTTGCTTGTTTTTAAAGACAGAAATATGGAATGCATTTGTGTGCTTCTCTTGTGATGTAGCTGGGTCCCAAGTAAATTTTCCAGGGAGCATAGGCCAATGGCCCATGCTGGGAGAGGGGGCGTCAATCATCTCTTCCTCTCCTCCTCCTCCTTCTCCCAGGATCCAGTGAGAGAGTTTGCACTATGCTGAGAGAGCATGCAGCAGACAGGGAGTCCAGCGCAGCTCAGAATTGCCCTCCCCACCAGCTTGCTAATATCCAAAGTGCCTGTGATAAGAAGCAGTTTCCAGGTTCACAGGTGGGAAGGTGTCAAGTCATACACACGGAACTATAAACCGCGCAGGCTCGTTAAAAGATCAAAGGGGAAGGAGTTTATTTTCTGAGGTCTGTTTCCTCCACAAAGCTTGGTGTCAAGGGGGGGGGTGTGCAGAGGTGGAAAATTGGGGCAGGGAAAAAGGAGATGGATTATATAGGTCTTATTTGCCCAAGTGGGGAGGGGGGAACCTCTTGGTCACGATTATTACCCCCTGACAGAGCACGGATAGGTTGCAGAAGAGCTTAAGTCAGACCCCATCCACAAAAGGTCCATGCCTGAAACATCTGCATAGCACAGCTATAAACTGAAAAATTAGGGTGACTGGCTTAAATAAAAACAGTCTTAACCATAGAACATATGCAGAATTATCAGGGAGAGTCTATTTATTTTCCTTTATTTTACATTTAACCACCCCCTTCGTCAAACAAGTGATCTCAGGGCAGAGTACATCAAATATAAAATCAGACTAACAATAAAACAATTCCAATAAAAAGCATTAAAACAACATGAAGTCAACCAGTATAACCTCCTTACTACAGAAATATGCCAATATTTCTCAGCTCAACGGTGAGAAGACTCTGGTTTAATAGCTGATGTATGAAACTCAAGCCAGTTGAACAGGTCATTGAGCTTCTTGATACTGAGATGAGTGGGGAGCATGAAATATTGCAATATTGTAATGAATATGTTATTACATTTGTTTGATATTCAACTGAGACGGGGCCAGGATATACATAATGTTTTAAGTTTGTGGGGTGCCTGGACTCCCCCTCTAATTCCTGGACCCACATTCTAATTCCGGGGTGTAAGACAGTGAATTTAGCATGTTGAAATGCAAGCTAGGAGCCAGCCTGGTGATGTCATCGTCCCCACCGTAGGTATTTAATTGGTGGTCAGTATGTTGTCACCGGGACGCGGGTGGCGCTGTGGGTAAAAGCCTCAGCGCCTAGGGCTTGCCAATTGAAAGGTCGGCGGTTCGAATCCCCGCGGCGGGGTGCGCTCCCGTTGTTCGGTCCCAGCGCCTGCCAACCTAGCAGTTCGAAAGCACCCCCGGGTGCAAGTAGATAAATAGGGACCGCTTACCAGCGGGAAGGTAAACGGCGTTTCCGTGTGTGGCTCTGGCTCGCCAGAGCAGCGATGTCACGCTGGCCACGTGACCCGGAAGTGTCTCCGGACAGTGCTGGCCCCCGGCCTCTTGAGTGAGATGGGCGCACAACCCTAGAGTCTGTCAAGACTGGCCCGTATGGGCAGGGGTACCTTTACCTTTTTTTATGTTGTCACCAATATGGTATGAACAGTCTCTATATTGCTTATCTTTAATACAGTTGAGATTTGCATAGAAACATGTCAGGGTTCCTCCAAATGATCTGTTTATTGAGCATTCGTCTTTATTTGTCTGCACAGAGCTTAAGAAGTGGAGGTTAGTCTATTTCTGCTCTTTATTGAGCATCCATTCACAGGGCAGTTACATGTTAATGAGTCGTCACCCTGATTCACTCACAGGGCAGGAGGGTTGTCTGTTTTCCTGCTCATTTGTTCATTTCACACTTTTCATTGCATTTCTCCATCAGTGTCCTAACCACAAAAAATCTGGCTTTAAAAAAAAAATACTCTTTAAAAACTGGATTTGTTGCGCAACAGCAGAGTGCTTTGACCCACTTTGATTGTGCAAACCTAACTCCAATGCTCCACGATGAACTATTTTTTGAGCATTCAGGCTGGCTTGCTTGCATAAAGCTTACATAGAGGTTAGAGTACATCAAGTGACGAAAAGACACCATTTCCAAATAAAAAATGGATGGATTTTGAAGCCACAATCATCCAAGGCTTGCTGTTCAAAGCTGGACACGTTCTCAGCGTTGGGATGCTGTGAATATTTGTGACTTCCCATTCCAATGACTTTGCTTGCTTCTTGGCTTCAGCACTGTGAACATTGTGTCCTACTAGGATTGCCTAGTATTTGCTGTTGATGTTCTGGCCCTTATCCAGGCAGTCAGTGAGGAGCGTGGAGATTGATTCCATCACCTACGAAGCACATGCTTGCACCTTAAACTTCTTCAGAGGCAGGGAATCCATGTGTTCCTGTTGCCATTGCTTTTCTGTTGTTTCTGGTCAAGGCCAGCACATGGTGACGCTTTTGCTGCCTGGGAAGAACGACAAGATGGTGCCCCTCCCAGTCCACATACAGAGGTTGTGTATACATACTACAGCATGGGAAATGCACTGGTGGCTTCCACAGCACCTGAAGCAGCAGGCTGGATTAGGGGGGCCAGTGCAGGCAATGCGAATGAGAGAGATGGCTCAGGAGGAAGAGTCAAGGGCAGTTGCCTCATTCTGCCTAATGGTAGGACCGGCACTATTTCTGAGCAAAACCTGTGGTCATCTTGGATAAGGAGTTGAAAGGGAGCACTATCATTACACACACACACACACACACACACACACACACACACACACATTTTTATTAATTTTTTTAACATAGCATTTCCAACAGTCATTTAACATACATTTTTATCTTATACAATTTTTTTTAGACTTCCA